AGTGTGTGCGTGCGTTTTTTTTTTTTTTTGTGTGTGTGCTTTATTACTGTTAAATGGAAATAAATGTAATGCAATGAATTTAGCTAATAATAGGAGCACTAACTGAAGCTCAAGTAGCATTATTTTGGTGATACTTTAGATTGGGGGCACGTATATTCTTAAATGATTGTTACTAGCATATTAATACAACGCTGGCTGTTTATTAGTTCAATTCAATTCATGTTTATTTATATATCGATTTTACAATGTAAATTGTGTTAAAGCAGCTTAACATAGAAGTTCAAGTAAATTAAAACTGTCTGTCCAGTTTTCTCAGTTCCAGTTCAGTTTAATTTAGTTCAGTGTGGTTGAAATTTCACTGCTGAAAGTCCAAACACTGAAGAGCAAATCCATCGATGCGCAGCTCCACAAGTCCTAAGCCAAGCAAGCCAGTGACGTCAGTGTCAAGGAACAAAACTTGACCAATTGATGAAATGAAAGAAAAAACCTAGAAAGAAACTAGACTCTGTTGAGCATGACCATTTCTCCTCTGGCCAAACTTCCTGTGCAGACCTGTAGACTAGGCGCCAGGGACTGGAAAACGCTGGACGCCTATTGTGGATAACTGCAGGTGTGAGTAGGTCACCGGGGAGTGTTCAGGCTGACCCAGAGGATCAATGCGAAGACTCGTCTGTCACTGTGGTCATACAAGAATCAGTCTCATCCTCTCCACCCTCTTCATCACCGCCACAGCATCTGTTCAGGATATGGCCTGGACCAGGATTATGGATACCTTGGCATAATTTCTTCACAGTTCTTGGATCGTTTCAATGGTGCTGCATAATGACTGGGGGCCTCGGGATGAGAATCCCAGGTGGAAATAGAGAATAACGAAAATAATTAGCGTAGCTGCTGTTCATAGTGTATATAATCGAGATGCAAAAATGAAGTGCTATAAATGAAAATAGTAGTTGTACAAATAAACATAGAAACAAACATGTATGAAAATGAGAGTTACTAACAAAATGTGTGGTGCATTAAGACAGAAGGAGTGTGTACTAAAGGTGGTTTGTGAAGCCCACTCACCTGTGTGGAGCACACTCATGCATCATGCTGTTATGCCTGTATGCTTTACTAAAAAGATAGGTCGTTAATCTAGTTTTAAACTGAGAGAGTGTGTTTGAGCCTCGGTTGTTATCAGGAAGGCAATTCCAGAGTTTAGGAGCCATAAATGAGAAGATGCGACCTCCTTTAGTAGACTTTGCTATTCTAGGTACTACCAGAGATCCTCTTGAGAAGCCAACCTTTGAGAAGGTTGGTTAGATAAACAGGAGCTAAATTATTTAAAGCTTTATAGGTATGAAGCAATCTTTTATAATTAATGCAGAACTTAACAGGCTGCCAGTATTAGGATGATAAAATTGGGGTGATATGATCATATTTTATGGACCTGGTAAGAACTTTGGCAGCTGCATTTTGCACTAACTGAAGTTTATAAATGGAGGATGCTGGGCAGCCAGCAAACAGAGCATTACAGTAGTCCAGCCTAGAAGTCATAAAAGCATGGACTAGCTCTTCTGCATCTGAGATGGATAGCATACTTCGTAACTTAGTGACATTTCTCAGATGAAAGTAGGTGGTTTTTGTGACATGGGAGATATTATTTTCAAAAGTTAAGTTGCTGTTTAATATAACATCCAGATCTTTTACGATTAGATCATTTACATGTCTCTTAAATTATAAGTAAATGCTTCCTCAATTGTTAGTTGCTTTGAACAAAATAATTTCTTAATAATTATATATAAATGGAAAAAATGCAGGTGATAGAATTATTTTTTTTTTATCCTTTGTTTGCTTGATTTCTTTCAAGAGCACACTTCAACATGAAATGCGTCTTCCACATTCAGAACTGAAATTGGACATCTTTCATCATTTTTATTGTTGTTTTTTCATGAACCGATCTCCATCTTCTTTCTCTCTGCTCTACTTGGCCTGCAGTGAATGAGTGGGCATGAGTGACGGTGGGTGGATGGACAAGTTTGCGTGTGTGTGTCAAAAAGTGAAATGCAGGTCCAGTCGAGCAACAGCCTCATCATTGCACTAAATCATTGGCCTGTTCAATTAACACACTCCTGCTTAAATCTCTCTTCCTGTCCTCTCAGACTCTCTTGACCTCACTCACCGAACACATGCACACAAACACACACTGGGTGATAAAAACAAATCCATCTTTATAAATGTGCATAATTACTCAGTCACCTGCCAAAACTCACCTGCCCTTGTTTAGCTTGTGTGCCCTTACATTTTTTTTCCACCCAGCATCGTCCGCACACACACTCACACGCCAGCAAAATGACAAACACTTCAATCACACGCACCCATACAAAATTACAAATAGCCCTAATTACACCTCCCACACACTCGCACCTGATGCTTTATTCAGAGACCTCTGCACAATCACACACGTTGATGCATGAGACCAGAGCAGCGCGTTATTGTTCCCTTAATGCTTTCAAAAAGTGACTTCATCTAAACCATTGTTGTGAATCAACCGTCCCAGCTCACTCACATTTGTGTTCTCCCCATGTTTACACTGTGTCTGTCTTTTGAATATTACTACCATTCTGCGGTTTGAGAGATGGCTTCATCTGGATGCAGATTGCCATGGAAACAATAAAGGATTATAAAATGTGTGTAACCGAAAATGAAAACAGGAATCAAAATTAATCTTGGAGTTGACATGTGGTTTCGAGAGCAGAAGCTGGATCATTTTCTCTCTGCACACTGCCGCTTGGCTGAATAGTAGTACTATGTATTTTATGTGAGGTTTATAAGGTCTCTCTCTCTATCTATCTCTCGCTCTCTCCTGCCAGTCTGCGCTTTTATTCATTAGTGTGGGCTGAACAGATGTGACTGTCTGTTAGTCGCTAAATCACTTTTATTGCACCTCAACTTATGGCAATTCTGCAGCTTCTGCTAATTTAGCAAAAAGATTGTTACACAGAGTAATGCTTGTGTGCAAATAGAGATTTGAATGTGGAATGGAAATCTGGCAGATGCAGAGGCTGACACTGCAGTCGGTTTTTGGCAAATTTTATGAGCGCGCTTGCTAAACGTCCTTGCTCTAAAAAGAGAAGCTGAATGTTCAGTTTAAATAAAGCAGATTAAAGCGTATTTAAAATATGACAAACTTTATGACACTCATTATGTGCTGTCTAATGCATTTTCAGTTAGAGCCTATACTTTGTTAAGCCTTTGTATAAACAGGTTGTCAGTATATACTTGACTTTGTTAAGGTTTATATATGTTTAGGTAGGGTGGCACGGTGGCTTAGTGGTTAGCACAGTCGCCTCACAGCTAGAAAGTTACTGGTTTAAGCCTCGGCTGGGTCAGTTGACATTTCTGTGTGGAGTTTGCTTGTTCTCTCTGTATTAGAGTAGGGTGCTTCAGTTTCCCCCACAGTCCAAAGACATGCGTTATAGGTGAATTGGTTAAGCTAAATTGTCTGTAGTGTATGAGTGTGAATGGGTGTTACCAAGTGATGGGTTATAAATAATTACCTCCAACAGTTGTTTCAGAGCTCAATTTCACTGTCCTTTTTGCTGGGTCTAATATTAAACACAAACAGCAGCTGATAATTTAGAATGCTGTCAGTTTAAAAAGATAGTTCACGCAAAAAATAAATTATATTATTAATTACTCGCGCTTAGGGCTGAACAATATATCGTTTGAGCATTTATTTATTATATTTTTTGCTGATGCACTTTTTAGAAAAGGACATGATCATCCCAGTCAATCAAAACTAATGAAATCTTTCCAAAAAGAGCTATTCAAATAATCTGGTGAAAGTAGTCATATCACAATGTATATCCCTGCAAAACAAAATATTGCAATGTCAGATTTTTCCAGTATCGTGCAGCCCTACTCGTGCTCATGTTGTCATACTTCAGTGTACAGTGCTCATGAACGCGTGCCCTATACTGATACTGAGGAGAAGAAACTGTTGAATAAAGTCATTGTTAAGTCGTTACTAGCTTTAACTCGTCTACTAAAGATGAATATTTGGGTGTTTGGAATGACATATGGATGTATGATTCATGACAGAATTATCATTTTGGCATGTCGTTTTTGGGACGTTCAAGACATAATGTAAAAATGTGACACATTTGATTTTTTTCTATGCTTTTTACATCCTCTTAAGACATAACCAACTGTTTTCAAGAATACTTACAAGGATAATCGCATTGAAAAGCAAGCGGAAACAAAAGAGAAGAGTACTGAATTGTTTCACATCCTATTGTGCTTAAATGTTTTATATTTGCTTGAACTGGCAAGACTTTCCAACACGTACAGATTATCAAATTTAAAGATAATGGAAAAGTGGGACCATGACGAATCCACCAACTAATACCTAACCCACTATTTTAACTCTTAAAATAAAAATTTGTCTAGCTGCACGTTTTAAATGGCATCTATGATGAAAATCATCCTATAGAAGCTGTTTGGACAGAACTGTGTGTAGGTATAGTGTGTCCACAAGCATATTGGGGTGATATAAAGACAATAATTCTCTTTTTTTTATTTCCTGACATTAAAATATGAACCAAATCCTTCTGAAATATTTCTCACAAACGTTACATGAGATCTGCTTTCTTCATGTCTGTGACTGTGCTGTTTATCTGATGCAGCCGAGGCGGAGATTGTAGCACACTGACAGGCACATGAGAACTAGCATCAAAGGCACAGGCAACAAAAACAGCTACATTGTTTACAAAGCAGAAGATTCAGATTTTTCTTGAAACTATAATAAACAATCGGATGGGTGTTTTGAGCTGAAACTTTACAGACACATTCTGGAGGCACAAAAGACTTCTTTTAAATCTTGAAAAAGGGGTAAAATAGGTGCCCTTTTTATGTTGTATGTGTGTTAAACTTGCTGTTTAATAATACTTATTGGTTGTTATTATTATTAGGCACCTCTTGAGGGTACATCTCTAACTTTTTGTTTTGTTTATTTTCAGCGTCGGTGAACGTTCTGGTGCCTAACTGTAAGATCTACAACGATGCGAGCTGTGATATCTCAGCGGATGGGCAGTTGCTGGCCGTATTCATTCCCAGCAGTCAGAGGGGTTTCCCTGATGAGGGCATTCTGGCTGTTTACTCTCTCGCTCCGCACAACCTGGGAGAGATGCTCTACTCCAAAAGATTCGGTGGGTTATCCTAAGACATAAACAACTTAACCTTTTAAGTGCTGTTAGTTTGGTTAGTAAAACATGACTCTTTTTCCTTCGCTGACGAGGATTTAATATACTGATTGAGTCATCAGAGCTAAAATTATTTCAAACTTGTGCTTAATTAAATCGAAAGCAAAGGGACATGGCTGTTCGCATTGTGCTCTCACTTCCCTTTCTAATTGGCTGAACAGACAGCAATGATGGAGCTCTTTTAGAGACAGCTTTAATTAGATAGTCCCCGTTTAAAAGCCAAATGAAGGCAGTGCTGGGACCAGGCTGCTAATGGAAACCAATGATGAGGAAGTATGAGTCCTGCTTGTTTTAGATTAAAGTGATTTTAAACCCCGGTCTCTCTCTCTCTCTCTCTACGGATTGGTCACCGCCAGCGGCGGTAAAGGCCCAGAGGAACTATCATTCATCCTATCCAGTAACAGTGGATTAATGAGAGCAATCGACCAGGATCTTCAATACTAAACCGCTCATTTTCATTTGCTGATCATCACATCGCTAGTGCTCTCTCAGCCGTCCTGCACACACCAAGCAAGGCTGATTTCAAAAGTTAAATGGTTGCAAAATTCAATTAGGTTTTAGGATGAGAAATTATATTAGCTATAATTACAGTCTGTGCAGGTCTAGGTGTGAACTTTTCTAATTTCATGCTTTAACAGATTGGTCTGAATGCTCTGCTTCGAACATTTACAGCAATTAATAATGCAAAAAAAATGGGTGGTTTAGGATTAATAGGGTGCAAAATGTATTTCCTAGATTTTCATCATTTCAATTTTTCTTATATTAAGCATTAAGCTTCCTGCAATGACTAGACTTTTTGTTTTTTAAGGTTCGGAAATAGTTTATATATATATATATATATATATACTGTACATGACAAAAAAAACATTCCTGTTTACTAATTACAAAACAAGCACTATTACGTAAAATAATCAGTTCAACAACACTGACTACGTTTAAATGGACGTCAGTAATCAGTAATATTTGCCTTAATCTGATTAAGACAATAATGTCATTAAGGTGTTTACATTAGTTGCTTTTTGAATGTTCCTTTCCTAATTTTACATGTTATAGCACATAATTCGACTAATGTCATCGCATCCCTACACTATCCACATTGCCTCCGGAGTTTATGTAATTTTTTTAATTTCATTTTTAATAAGTCGACGTTAACTGCAGTTTGACACTTATATTTAAGAACATTGCATGCATGCTCTCCTCGTGAAAAACCAAGGTATTGAATGTACATATAAAGTAAGGAATGCTGGAAGAGTGTTGTTTTAATAGAATTTGATACCACAAGGCAAATGGAGGGAAACATCTGCATTTTGCGAATCAAGTTTCTGTGGTTATTTTCTGACTCAGTAGGTGCAGAGAAGAGTGTCAAACAGCCTTGTGTGTATAGACTATTGTCACAAAATGTGCCTATATTCCTACATGACGGAAATAGTTTAAGGTGTGTGCTTGTCTGTACTGCACTTCAATAATGTGACTAAAATCGGCATACTCCACATGTCTTAGGGCTCACACTATGTACAGATGCCTTGAATCGGACCAAAGCACACTTGTCCCCCCTCCCGTCTCTCCCGACGGCCCGCAATCACATTACAGTCGGGCCTGGGCACGCTTATGTCATCGATGATGTGCCGATCAGTAAGCGATTTCGTCCAGCACAGTAGAGATTTCTTCAGTAGAGATTTCTTAAGTCGTTGGAAATGCAGTGACACGCAGTCAAATATTTCGCCAAACAGATCAGCCACTTTTGACGCTCATAAACAATCATAAAGTCCTCATGCTGCAGGAATTAGGAGATTTCCTGAAGATGCAGCTGTCAAGCAGTTGAACCTACAGCCAATGAGAGAGCAGCAACCACTACTATGGGTATTTGCAGGCCAACATGAGGCTGGGGGAGAAGTAAAAGGGCTTCTTTTCGGTCTATTTGGACCCAAAAAATGGAGGAAAAACTAGTTTAAATTTGGCAGGAGCACCCGTGTTTGACGTGTCATCTGAGCAATACCACAACCAGGTCAAAAAAGAAAAAAAAATCAGGAGAAATTGCTAATTCCACTCAAAACCCAGGTTAGCAAAATAAGTACATTTTCTACCCCACTAAAGGCTTCTATCTTATTATGTAGTTAATAACAAAGGATATACTATGTGACCGAGTTGTTTTTATGTCACTTTTCGTTTTGTTGTAAGAAGCGAGACAAAGTTGCCGCCGAGTCTCCTACTGTAAAGTCATGCAGTTTGAAACCCCCTGATGCTAATTTATCCTGCAGTGTAAACACAGCAGAATGCTAGAATGGAATGCTACCCCAGATAGTCATGCAGTGTCAAAGCTGTGACGACTTTGAAAATTGTGCAAAAATCGTCTGAACTTGGCATTAGTCAGCTTTCAGATAATGCTAAAAATGGACACACACTGAAAAAAAATGATTATTTGGATTTACTAAAATCCAGTTTGCTACAATTAAGGTAAAACAATAATTATGTGCAAATAATATATATGTGCCGAATTTAAACAAACAAATTGAGTTTAATATTGCTACATTTTATTTGTTTAAATTCCAATCCCATATAAATTGTTTGCAACCACTTGTCGTAAAAAATTTGTAAACCCAAATAAATTTCTTTCTTTTTTTTTATGTATGACTGTGATACTTCAGTGATATTTCAGTGTATGGTTTTATGGTCCAGGGTTACATATTGTTGCTTTAACCTTAAAAGTCTTTGAGCAAAGAGCATATTGTTGAATTTCTAATTTTACATAATAGCATTTGTTTTGTAATTAATTGGTGCAGTTTTTGCTTCAGTTGTTTTTTATCTGTTTGTTTCAGCTGTGAGTAACTTCAGTGTTTGTTTTGTCACAGGTCCAAATGCCATCTCTGTCAGTTTGTCTCCGATGGGTCGTTACGTGATGGTGGGTCTGGCGTCTCGCCGCATCCTGCTGCATCAGATCAGCGATCACATGGTGGCACAGGTCTTCAGACTGCAGCAGCCTCACGCAGGAGAGACGTCCATGAGGGTACGTCACTGCTGACCTCATGTCTTCTTAAGATTCATCCACTGCTCCTAATATTATCACAGTGGGTAGAAAAAAAATACAGAAGCATCTTATGAGTGGGAAAAAAGTGCTATTTGTTTTTATAAAGCTAGACTGCATGAATTTACTTATTCACCTCATTTTGCAGTGTGGAGACAAGCTATTTTCTCTTAATGTGTTCATTAGCCCTGGGGTCAAAAACATGAGCACATAGAGGGATAAACACTAGCGTACATGAAATGGAGATAAAGTTGTTGTTAAATGAAGTAATTCGAACCAGCATACGAATGTACAGCTTTAGTAAAAACACTTAAAATTGAAACCACTTAAAAATATGAATTTATAAATTTAAGTAAAAGCTCAGTTTAGTTTTATTATGTAAACTTGTAATGACATATTTTCCAAAAACAAAAGTGTTGTAATTTTTGTGTAAATAACGATTGGTCCAAATTAGGGCTGGGCGATAATATCGGTATCAAAAAAATATGTATTCTGAGTAATGGAAAAAAAAGAGTTTGGTATAAAGTGCGCGGTGAGCTTAGGGTGTGTAAGTGTCATCATTGCACACACTTTCTAACACTTTGTTTATCAAGTTTAAGAGTCTCTTTAACATTTTTTTATTTTAATATAAAGATATATCTATTATTTAGTTTAAATATATTTGTTTTTGACTATTAAAACTATTTGCCTTAGTAATGTTGATTAATTAAAATTAATTAAAGCATATTATTCACAGCCTGCTATAACATTAGACTGTGCATTAAAGCGGGAGAGAAACTTGAGCATTAACTACATTATCATGATGATGGACTCACTTTTCTTTGAAAAAAGCTCCTCTTGTCCAACCTTTTTTTTTGCTGTCGCCATCATCACTTGTGTCACATTTTTTTTCTTGCATGGTTTTGTTTTTTTCTCCTGCAGTTTTGGCACTGTTACATCCGAACACAGCTACAGCCTCTCACATGACAGCAGGGAAAGGCGCAGCCAATCACAATGTTCATATGTGTTTAGAGGTGGTGCGACTGGAGAAGAGAACGTGATTTACCCTCGCTGCATGTCTAGGTTAATATTGACAGCGAGATTTCTTTAAAAGTGAGTTAAATTATCGGTGGGGACATTTCAATAGTTAATGAATATTGGTTGGGACGCGTCCCCTCCATCCATGCGAAATCTACACCCCTGTATGATGAGCTTACAACAAATGAACAAGCATGTTATGAAACAAGCTTCAGAAAAATGTAATTCTGCACATTTTTAAAAAATACAATAATCAAATTTGCCAATAAATAAATCAATTCATGCTGAAAAAAATATTCAAACCACAGATACACATACTGTATCTCTTAAGTCAGTTATGTCCAATATAACTATATAATAAATTCAAAAGTCAAGAAATAAAGAATTGTGTCTGAAAGCTTTTTCCTTTTTTGACTGACAGTTTTTACCAAGCCACTTTCAAGGTTAAACCTCCAGACAGGACCACAAAACCCATTTACTTCCCTTTTTCATTTTTAGTCATTCCTTTCATGAGGTTTGATTATTGTGAAGTTTGGTTATTACTGGTGGTCTGCCCTATGTAGATCAGCTCTCTGTGCTCTCTACAGCAGAGGGGGGAGCCTGGGGTTTAGAAAAGCCTTTGAGTAGGAACCTGACCTAGATACGCTCTTTTAGAAATAGAAGGGGGGGAGAGAGAAGTGGGAAAACTGTCTGTTTGTGTGGAGCGAAGAGCATAAATGGAAATATCTACATGGTTGACTTTTGTTTTTGTAAGCTCATGCTCATGGCAGGATTCTGAACGATTAATTTAAGTGCAACGGAGCAGGAGAGCTTCGTTTTTATCCTTGCGTAGTCTCTAAACATACAACAGCAAATCTCTCTTCACAGAGGTTGGAAAAGCCACGCAGTGGACGCTTGTTCATGGGTGTATTTTGTCAGTGTTGTTTCCCTGCTTTTAATTAGGATGGCCACCACAGTGGAGCTCTTACAGTAACGTCTGTTTGTTAATCAGAAATTAGGATGGAAAGTTTAGTGCCAGTGTTATTGCTGCTAGAGCTGTATTTAAAATGTGAGCCATACATGAGATCGGTCTCTCTTAATGACACTCTCAGGAGCTGTTTCTATGCTCTAATGGTTATTGAACACCACTAACAGAGATGATGTAATGAATGTAGATAATGCAGCATTATGTCGTATTTGATACAAGTCTTTCAGCTCCACCGCTTTTCACACATCTCTGTGTAAAGTTGCTTTTTAGATTGATTTCATTGAATTTTATCTCTGCATTTTATGTTAGACTAAGATGAAACTTGTCTTGAAGATCAGATGAACTCTTTAATCATCACCAAAACCACTGGACCTGTCAGGTGTGTGTGTGTGTGTGCATGCATGTGTGCGTAAGCAAAGGGTAAATGTTAAAGACCTGGCCCAGTACACTTAATAATAATGGGAACATGGCGGACAGGTGCTGAATGCATTTTAAACAGTCCATACATTATTTGCCATAACACCGTCCCCACTGGGCGCCTGATTTCAGCAGTAGCCATAGCAACAGCACCTTTGGGTACGTTTCGTTATCTGTGCTTTCTGCTTTTATGGCCGTTTGTTTATTGAGACATTTCTCTCTCATGCTATGTTTATTTGTTCATTTCTATCATTTTATATTCTATAATTTGATTATGTTCTGTTTCCTCCCATGTCTTTATTTATTAAAGGAGATCTTTCTGTTTGTTTATATGAAGTGATATTTTCTCATATGGCAGTTAATGAATGAATTTAATACATCAGCATCGTTAATGTGTCTGCTTATTACCAGGATTAATTATACTCCGGAGAGTGGAGAGAGAGAGAAAATGAACAAAGGTTAGCCCGAGGCTCTATCTTCAGCTTTGCTGTGAACAACTTTTTCTACACATACATTTTTTAATGTAGTAGTGATTTTTCATTTTCAAGCTGTTGCAAAATACTCATCACGCCGCTTACCTGCCAATGTTCTTTTATAGATGCGTAGTTTCAAATTAGGATGTTTTTAGATGGGGAATTTGCTGTTAATTATTTTGTTTTTGAGCACTGTGGCATTTATGAACTGAATGAGTGTGCACTTGCATTCCTCTTTATGCATTTAATCATGCATTAAATTGAAAGTCTGACAGTAAAGACAATTATAATGTTACAAAATATTTCAATTTCAAATAAATTATGTTTTGATCTTTTTATTCATATAAAAATGTTATTCATAGTTGTGTAGTTTTAGTGTTCACAATATGATTTTTGCCTTTCATTTTAGGAACTGAATCAGACTCATATTAATTAGTCTGTGTTAGGACTGCACAATATATCAGTTCAGCATCAATATCGCAGTGTGCTCATCTGCAATAGTCACATCGCAAGATATGTAATGTTAAGTCTGAAATATAATTGAGAGTGAGCCACAAAACACGTAATTTGTAGAGTTTGCATGTGTACTGTTTTTAAGGCCTGTGACTGAGCCTTTCAAGAAAGCTTAGAACATTTGAGCACAAAAATTATGACATTGTCCAGTGGCAATACAGACCTTGAAATGGAGACACTCATCTCTTACTCATGAAATCAAGTGTCACTTGAATCCACTCTTGAATTATAAGATTATAACAAAATGGAAAAATGAAATAATAAAAAGCAATAATTATAGGAGAATGATAATAAAATATAATATATAAAAGCCTAATAAAATGACAAATAATAATCATTATCTAATAATCAATAAAATGATATTATGATAGTTATATAAATAACTATTGATCAGAGGATTAAATAAAATAATTTAATGAATCAAAATGATTAAAAACCAATCAAAGTAAAACACAACACAAATGAATTGTGTGTTTTTTTTTTAAACAACACACATAAATTTGCCATAAGGTTTCTCAGATGCCTAGTTAGATTCTGCAGAGGTGTAACAAAGATTTGTTTTATTTAATAATATATTTGATTAATTATTTTAATGATTTATTTATAAATTGTTTATAATTTTTTTCTTTATAAAAGAATTGAAAAAGTTTTTTTCTTACTAAGAATTTTTGTCTTGTTTCTAGTCTAAACCTCTATATTTCAAGGCGAAAACAAGATTATTTTACTTAACAAATTGGCAGATAATTTAGCTTGTTTTAAGGGAAAAAAACTATTACTTTCTTCTGGAATTAAAAAAAAAAATTATATTTTCACTTGATCTAAGAATTTTTAGATAATTGGACTAGAAAAAGGGACAAAGCAAAGAAAGAACAGTATTTTGTGCATTGTGATTGTTTCATTTTTGTACCCATTAACTGTTAGACATCCCAATATATGATTTTTTTCAATATCGTGCAGCCGTAGTTTGTGCACCAAAAATCTGTGCTGCACATAAATCCCCTCTCAGAAGAGCCCTATACTGTGTGTTTGAGAGTGAAGCTGCACAACGTCCCTGCAGCATAGGTCCATATGTGCACACACTCACTCTGTTCAGGTGCTGTGGTGCAGATACACACACAAATACGTGCATCAGTCATACATGCTCTCTTCCCTGAGAAACACCAGTCTTTGCGGCTTTTATCCTTGTCCTGAATTTCCTCTGTCTAGAGTAAAGAAGGAGAGAAAGAGTTTGTCTGTTGATCACTCATCTGCAGATGAATGAGACCGCTTTCTCTCTCTCTGGCAGACATGAGCATGTCCTATTTTTGTCCTTTTTTTTCTGGAGCCAGTGGAGTGTAAGTATTATGCCAAGGCTGACAGACAGGGGACAGGGGAATGGATTGGAAAAGAAAGGGAAAGAGTACTTTGGAGAATGAGATTTGACTTTTCGCAGTTTAGCCTCTTCTCAGTTATGCTAGCAGCGCTGTCATATCTGACACAGACTGCAATCTACAGTGCAGAGGATAATGAAAGAACCTGACCACTGAAAAGAACTATTGCTGAGAGTGTTGTGGGATGTTTTAAACAGGTGTGTGTGTGTTTACGTGTTTTTCAGAGGGTGTTTGATGTGGTGTACCCAATGGCACCAGACCAGAGGAGACACGTCAGTATAAACTCTGCCCGCTGGCTGCCAGATCCGGGGCTTGGGCTCGCTTATGGGACCAACAAAGGAGATCTTGTCATCTGCAGACCTGTGTGAGTCTCCTATCATCCCTTCATAGCTCTCTCAGCCCTTCTTGAGGGTCATAAATCACTTTTTCTTGTAGTTTTCTCTCATTAAAGACTCCAAAATGCTGCCGTCATGTGTTTTATAAAGCAAGGTTAAAAAACTCAGCTTGACTCTGCAAAATAATTGCTTGCCAAACATAATGAGCACTTTATTCATCTGTGGGTTGATCAACAATAAATGAGAAGTGATCGTTAATGGCGGTAACCATGATAAAAACAAGCTGCTGTTATATATTCAGTCTGTGTGTTAAAGCATTTGGTTGTTCTGAATTGTTGAACTCAGTCAGTCTTTGCGCTGATATGCCCATCTGTTTTTGTTTTCTGGGTGAGAACAGCACTGTTTAATGTTTATGTAAATGAACATCATACATTTCAAATACTTTCTCGGTTTTGTCAGTTCTTCAGCAGTTTTAAAAGAAGTTTCCCTACTAGCGTTTGGTGTTTGTTAGCGAAATAGACACTAATTAATTCACTTCAAGGATCATTTCCCTCTGCTGTATTTTGGTTGTATAATTTGCAGCTTGGCTGTGGATGTTGCTTTTCTGCAAGTTTGTCATAATTATCATCAAGGTTACCGTGGATACAAAAAGACCACGTTGCAACACAAACATTGTCTCTCCAATGTAAACATGCTCTCACTTCATTAATGCAAACAGTTTGCTAATTGGAGAAAGCAGAAAATTCACAGCCTTATTTTAGTTTATGAACTGGTCTGGTGTCCAGCACTAAGAAAATATAACATTTTGTGGCTTGGACACAAAAAGGCCAGCGGCTTCATTCATAATACAAAGTTTTAAGGCTTTTACACTGTAATCTACCAAATAATGGCAAATGTTTTGTTTGTATGGTTTGTTGTTTTATTATATCTGTTGTCACAATAAAACAAAAAATGCTTTATGCTGCAGTCACACCTTGTCATAATTTACCATGATTATTAAATGAAGCTCACATTAAGACAGCACGATATAAGGAAAAATATAACATTGCAATATATTTCAATATAGGCTTGTTACAGGTTGGAATTTTGTAATTGCTGTGATTCCAACATTTTGTTAGCATACCTGTTTGTGCAATTGCTGTTGTTATCTCATGCCCAGTTCTTTATTTCTATCCTATTCCAGTGAATTTTCCTAAAATGTCTGTCATTTTTGGCTTCTGGCTGAATGCAAATAATAATTTAGTATAAAGATAAACAACGAAAATAAAAATCCAAGGCACTCAAAAAGTGATTTTTTTAGTAGGTGCTGTTTTATAACCTCACCGGCCACTTTATTAGATATACCTTACAACTATCAGGTTGGACCCACCTTTGCCATCAAAACTGAAATTCTTCGTGGCATAGATTCAACAGGGTATTGGAAAATTCCTCAGAGATTTTGGTCCATATTGACATGATAGCATCTCGCAGTTGCAGCACATTCGTCAGCTACACATCCATGATCCGAATCTCCCGTTCCACCACATCGAGCAGTTGGACAGGTGTACCTAATAAAGTGTCCGGTGAGTGTAGATTAGCCATGTTAATTAAGTTTTTTTTATTTTTTTTATTTTATTTTTTTTTAAATGTCACTTACTTTTTGAGTACCTTGGACTTATGATTTAAATGTTTATCCTTATGAATCCCTTACTCAAAGAGTACACCTTAACTACCCCTGAAGCACTTTTTGTTTGATTTTGGATTTTTAATATTTAAGCATGTTACATTTTTAGAAGACATGAGGCTGGAAACATCAGGGCTGGCAATAACACACAACTAACACCCATTATTATTTGCACATCATTTGATTTCAGATGGATGAGCAGTCCAGTCCAATGAACAGTATAATGCACGCTCATTTGTTCAGTATTTTAGTCAACACTCGGCATGGTTGCATTAAATTCGTATGAGTTTGAACAACAAACTGAGTCATTCTCTGAGATCCATTACAAGACCAAGTCCTTTGACTTTATAGTGTCCAAGAGCATATATTCATGGTCTTGGTCTCTTGTTATCAATCTGGAACCACATGAGCTTAGTCTTGATTCAGACTCAACCTCCTTACTGTATATTGGACTCACCAGTTTTTCACACAGGTCAGAGATACAGTATTAGGCATTGCCATAATTTAAATAAAGTTTAGTCCTACTCTTTATAAGTCTTTTGATTTGATTCTCAATCTTAAAATATGTCCTGCTTTGTTTCATTCCCTGTACGCTAATGTACCAGAGGTTTGGAAAATTGGCTTTACCTTTCACTGAAAGCAGGCAGGACCACACACCGCTTTCTCTCTGTCAGCACCCATAAGGCTGTTATTCTACAGCTTTTGATGGACACTGAAGGGAGAGGGATCGATCCAACTGAAACTGGTAATTAGCCTCCAGTGGTTCCAGATATCAGCCTACTCTCATGCTGGGGAACATCCACTCATTATGATGTGTTGGAAAATAAAGGATCAATTTTTAAAGTGCACAAATATTGACATGATATTCATGAATGCCACAAACAGGCCTACACAGCTTGTCCTCCGCCATCAGCTCAAAACAGTGGTGATTCTGAGAAATTAATTACTTTAGCTCTATAATACGCATCACTCATCAGCGCTTTGCTTACAGGTGTTTTTAAACAGGAGATGTTTTGCTCTTTCTTAGTTAGGCTCTCTCAGAGAAAAAAGAGAGAGACAAATGGACAGAGAGAGCAGTAGAAGGGAAAAAGGGGCAAGAACTAGAGCTGGACAGGCCCATTGGGAGGCAACATCTCAGGGAACTCTTGGTTGGAGACAGGTGCGCGGGATGGTTGGATGAAGTGGATGTCAGCCTCTGCAACTACGGGACTGTCAGTGCTATGCTAATGAGGCGCGTAGATGCATTGTGGGAGTCCATGGGGAGCATGGCGAGTTACTTTGAGCTAGGCAAATGAGCAGTCAACGGACTATAGCTCTGACACAGCCGAGGAAGAGGGAGCTTTTTCTTTTTTAGCTGCCATTGTTTAAGCTCTTTGTTCTCGTACTGTGTTTGCTGAAGATTTTATCTCTATTTAAACCCAACAAAGCAAAACGAGGGGTTCCTAAAGTCGGAGCACAATCATTAGTGACAGGGGGTATTTTTTATTTCTGAGAAAATTCTAATGAATTCTTTTTACTTTGTGCTCTGACTCAAGCTATGTTTGTCTGATTTGGTTTTTATTACTTGTTTGTTAAATCAGGTAAACACATTTTCCCTTTTATTCTCCATTGAAGACTTGCTTTATTCATCTCTGTGCAGTTAATTAATGCCAGTGGATGACACCTTTGAATTAAGAATGGTTTAAACCAGTTTTCATTTCATTTGAAATGAAAGTCAATGTTTTTTCTTCTTGCATAAATGACATTGTTGATAAGCCCTTACTTTGATTACAGGCTATTTTCACTTTTTCTTTCTTTGTCTCTGTATGTGACCATGGAAATGTGGCGTGCAGCGATGTGCATTCTGATGGCAGCAGCACCTCTGAACACTCTGAGCGAATGTTCACCATCAATAATGGTGGAGGGGTTGGACCCAGTAGCAGCAGGAGTGGAGACAGGGCAGGGTGAGTATGGACATACTGTTGTTAGGAGCACAAGGACATTGAGCTGGTGTTTTAGCACTTCAAAAAAAATGCCTCATTGTGCTTTATGCATATTACCTATTATGCATTATGCAGTGTGTAATGTTCAGGGTTCCCACAGCTCATGGAAATTCTGCAATATCATATAATTTTAAAAGGTCTATTCTAGACATTGAAAGTTAGTGAATTTAAATATTTTGTTGTTGTTGAATATCATGGAATATCAGTTTTTTTAAACATTTAAATTTTACTTTCCATTTATAAAAAAATTTTTGCATTTTTTTTAATGTTGTTTCATGTCTTGCCTATTAGTCTATTTTTCAGTGTCATTTTTTTTCCCCACTTGTCAACCAGCAAACACTTAAGTCAAATGCAGTCACCAGGCTTTACCTGTTTACCTGCTCAAAACAACAGCTGTCTGTTTTTCTGTTCATTATTGGTCATGGAAATTCATCTTTTTTAGTTAGTGAAAGTCAGGGAAAAGTCAGGAAACTGGTCTCGGGTAGGAATCCTGAATCTACTATAGCTTAAAAAGTCATTGAATAAATAAAGAACTACTACACACATTTTAAAAAATAAAAATAGCACACATAATAGCATTGTAAATCAACCATCTTTCTTTGTTTGTTCAGATATAAATTAAAATTCACTCACTTAATTAATTCACTTTTTTCCAGCTTAGTCTCTTTATTAATCTGGGGTCGCCACAGCGGAATGAACCGCCAACTTATCCAGCATATGTTTCAAACAGTGGATGCACTTTCAGCTGCAACCCATCACTGGGAAACACACATACACTACAATTTAGTTTACCCAATTCACCTTTAGTGCATGTCTTTAGACTGTGTGGAAAACTGGAGCACCCGAAGAAAACCCACACAAACACAGGGAGAACATGCAAACTCCACACTGAAATGCCAAATGACCCAACCGAGGCTCGATCCAGCGACCTTCTTGATGTTAGGCGACATCGCTGCCAACTGCGCCACCAGGCCACCCAAATTAAAAAATTTAAAATGAAAAAAAAAATACAATTTCATAAGTGAAACTTTCATGGACAGCTCTCCAATGTGTAGTGTCATTATGCTTTATCATCAGTGACTGGGGCTTTTCCCGATTCTGTCAGCCTCTTGCCCACTTTACTTTCTGCCTATTGTCCATACCATTCTACCTTAAACGCTAAACAAATCTTTAAACAAGAAAGAGAATTCTTAAAGCAAAACACTGTTATTGTGTACAAAAAATTGTAGTATACTGTATTGTGTGTTACCTTCAAATTATCCCTGGCCAGCCTTTCGCTGTTCAGTGTCCGGCAGAACCAGCATGTCACTTAGTTGGATGGGCATGATAGCAGAGCACAGCTGTGAGCCATGGCTGCTGTTAATTAAGACTCATCACAGCAGCCATGAATCCAGCCTCTGTTGCTGACACTTATTTTGGAAAAAATATGCCTCTGTGAGGTGTGACTGCTCATCCCTTATTGCTGGTCTTCACTCGCTGACACACTTGTCCATAATGAACTTAATGAGACATCTTAGTCTACTCTACAGTAGCAGTGTTTCACCCAAGATTGTGATAAAAGTGTCCATCTACCCTCACACAGCTTCCTGGCCATTTTATTGATTCCTCAGTCCCAGGCTCTGGAGCAGGTGACTATATAGGACACAATAACAGCCTGTAAGCTAATATATAGCTTCATATAATTAAGCATCCATAACTGATAATATGATTGTGTTTGTGTCATATTTGTTAATAGTAGCTTCATTAAAATGTGTTCCAAATAAATTTATCCATACAATCTTTTTTTTTCTTAGGTTATGTCTAAATAAATGACAAAACCAGCTTTGAATGGCAACAGTTATGTCAAGAATCTGTTGACATTTCAATCAGCAAATGAAAAGCAGATTAAATATGTATCTGTAATCCATATTAAAACATTAATATCCTTCAAATTATTTGTATTGCGTGTGCATGTGTGTTTATGGAGCATATGGGGAATTTGGAAATTATGGTTTGATGAAAAGTGTTTAAATTTTTTTGTAGTGCATTACTATGTATTTAACATGGTAAATATAAGTCCAACAGGTATAAATAAGCTAAATGGGGGAAAAAATAAAATGACTAAAATATGACTAATACAAAAAGCCATTTCACTCGTAGGAATATGACTAAATCAAAAATCTGCTGCAATTTGCTGTTCATTTACTGTAGACCCCATTAACTTTCATCACCCTGTTTAAATAAATGGTCTCCCATAAGCATCGATGGTTCCATGTAGGATCTGAGACATCGACACAACCACTTTCCATTGGTTCTTTAAAGTAGAATTGGTTAAAAAAATAGATTGGGTAAACTTTGTTTTTCAGTGTTTAAACTTGAAGAATTCTCCTTCAAGCCGGAGAGGGCCAGCCAACCTTGTCCAGTCGAGCACTATGGCCAGTGGAGTTCAAGTATCTTGGGGTTTTGTTTGATGGAATGTAAGATTGACAGGCTGATTTGTGCAGCAGAAATGTTATCAAATCACTGTTCAATTTACATTCCTACTCTCACCTATGGTCATAAGTTTTAGGTCATGACCGAAAAGACAAGATCTCGAATATAGAGCTGAAGGAAGTGTCTGAGATGAGGGAAGAATGGAGACTCCTGCCCCCATAACCTGGCCCCCTGCATAAGCAGTTGATGATAAATGGACCAAAACCAATAAAGCTTTCCCAAAAATATCTTTGCTTATCCCACAGAGGAATAAAACGCATTGGAATGACACAAGGTCGAGAAAACAGTCATAGAAATTAATGTGTTTTTGGATGAACTATCCCTGAACTGCCTGTGTAATTGTTCAAGGAGGCATTGTTTGGTTTGCTAGCATTGTGCTTGTGTTGTTTTCTCCTGCGGATAAATTACTGCTGCTTGTATTATTCTCAAGTTGTTGTGGGTGAAAGGGTCTGCTAATTATATGCCACTGTTGAACGTCCTCACTTATCCAGCTTTCATGAAAGAAAACAACATTGTGTCAGGAAGGATTTAGCATTGTCTAGCAAGTACTTCTACTGACACGTGTCTTCTTACATCTAGAGCTCCTTCAGCCTTGTGCAGAACTTAACTTTGTTTTGTCAGATTAGACAGGACTGGCCTGAGGACTGTGATAATGTTGTAAGATTGGCTGTAGTGGTCACTCATCCTGCTGTGGGATGTGTCATGTTTTGCAGGAGCAGCAGGACTGATCGACGGTCACGCAGAGACATAGGCCTGATGAATGGAGTTGGTCTGCAGCCACAACCTCCCGCCGCTAGTGTTACATCACAGGGGACGCAGACACAGAACCAGCGACTACAGCATGCAGAGACACAGACCGACCGCGATCTTCCAGATGACCCCCAGCAGCCCAGCACTTCTCAGGGGTCACAGGTCACTGATGGTAAGACACTCTCTGTGAATCAGATTTTATGAATGAGCTTGGGTGAGTGAAGTCCATCTGTGATTAAATTTACACTTCATTGTTCTAAATTATTGTCTCTTTCTGAATGCAAAAATATGCAGCAATTTAAGTACATTTGCTATACTCTGTATGCAGATTCCAGCTGTAATGTTTATATTGTATATACCCTAAACCATGTCATCTTATTATGATATCTGTTTACATGTACATTTTGTGCAAGAAATATATTTTAGTGTCAGTGTTTCCATAGCAACAAGCTGGTGTCTGTGCTTCTGTCAGAAAAAAAATCATTAATTCAAAGCCTTTTAAGTGTTTTTTTTTTATTTTTGTCCCTTTCTCCTTGAGAAGTCTAAAATGAAAATGTCTCTTTCACCACAGTATTGTTATTAACTACTAAAACCTTGTTTATTCATTGAAATAGTTCATTTATAATATATTATTTAAGCTACTTCGATGAGCTACAATCCATTCATTTATTCATTTTCTTTTCGGCTTAGTCCCTTTATTCTTCTGGGGTCACCCAGGCGAGGCTCGAACCAGTTAGCTTCTTAAAGTGAGTCGATAGTGCTACCCACTGCACCACCACGATGCCCATGAAAAAAAATATTAAACTAAAATAACACTTAATAGGTTTTATTGTTATTATTTTTTATTATACCATTATTGTTCCCATTTTATATCAAGTGGCCTTAATTAATATGTACTTATTGTGTAAATACGTGTTGTACATTGTGCTTAGGTTTGATTAAATTTGTGCATGTAATTACATCTGTAATTAATTTCTGTTAGTATTGGCCATCCCTTATACCTTTACCCATTTTTAAAGCTACCCATACCACCAAACGTGTCCCTAAGCGTACCCATATCACAGCTCAATAGCACTAGAAGTGTACTGCAATATATTATGAACACATTAAGTACATTTTGTGTGTGTGGCCACTCACTAACCACTTCATTAGGTATACCTTACTAGTAATGTACTGCCTTAATCTTTCGTGGTGTAGATTCAACAAGGTACTGAAAATATTCCTCAGAGATTTTGGTCCATATTGACATGATAGCATCACGCAGTTGCTGCAGACCAGTCTCATTTGATTTGTGGTTTATGACATGGTGTGATATTCTGCTAGAAGTAGCCATCAGAGGATGCGTACATTGTGGTCATAAAGAGATGGATATGGTCAGCAACAATACTCTGGTAGATTTTGCCTTTGACACACTGTTTAATTGGTTTGTGAATTGAAGCCTCAGTTTCCTGTTTTTAGCTGACAGAAGTGGCACAAAGTGTGCTTCTGCTGTTGTAGCCCATCAGACTCAAGGTTTGACAGGTTCAGAGATGATCTTCTGCATACCTCGGTTGTAACGAGTGGTTATTTGAGTTACTGTTGCCTTTCTATCAGCTGGAACCAGTCTGGCCATTCTCCTATGACCTTTGGCATCAATAATGCGTTTGTTCCCACAGACCTGCCGCTCACTGGAAATTTTCTCTTTTGGACCATTTTCTGTAAACCCTAGAGATGGTTGTGCATGAAAATCCCAGTAGATCAGCAGTTTCTGAAATACACAAGCCCATCTGGCAACAACAACCATGCCACATTAAAAGTCCCTTAAATTACCTTTCTTCCTCATGCTGATGCTCAGTTTGAACTTCAGCAGATTGTCTTGACCATGTCTACATGCCTAAATGCATTGCTGCTATGTGATTGGCTGATTAGAAATTTGCGATAACAAGCACCTAATGTACCTAATAAAGTGGCTGGTGATTGTATTCAAATGGGACCGACTTATTTATCTATAAATCTAGATTTTAATTTATTTTTTAGTTATTGTAGCACATAAAGGAAAATGGTAATATTAATGCTTATTTTAATGCTTTTTGGGGTGTTTTTTGCTGTAAAACATTAACCCACATTTTAACCCACAAACTTCTAATTTGCATGCTAATTAATCTTCTGTTTAGTTTAACTGATTATTTAATCTCATATATTCAGCGGTAGGTCAGTCAGGTCATTTATTTTATTTATTTTCTGTTTTGTTTTTTGAGGTATCATTTGAATTTACAGGTTTTGGGCTTCATATAAGCATTGCTCTAGTTGTTTTTTTTATTTGTCTCTCTGTGGCCTTTAGTGAGAAGACAGAGGGGTGAAAAGAGAAGGCTGCGTGCTGCGCTTTGCCTTTTTATGCTAATGGTAATTACAGGGGACAGAAGAGGCCACTTTACCGGCACCCAACAGCTGAAAGTCCCAAGTTAATGTGTGTGTAGTATTGCTCTCATGTATAATGGCGGTTAGCTTCAGAGGGAGCGTTCATGCCAGAAAACACTACAGTACATCTCTCTTTTCTGGTACCAGCCATATTCTCTCTCTTCTGCCAGCCTCCATTACCCATCAGCCCACTTTAGCTCTCTACTCTTATTACTGCTGCTCTTCATGTGTCGCTTTTAGCAGCACACCAAACAGATGAATAAGCATGTCTAGATGAAGCTTCACTATAGGTCCCAGTTATAAATCACATAAATAAGCCGAGCGACAGATTTAACCCAGCTGACACTTGTATTTTTAGCCTTGTTTAAATGTGCAGTTTTATTTATAAACATGGTTAGGAGTCTGAGCCACCGCTGAATTGATATGTCTGATATAATGCCTAGTGGGAGCTCAGCTTCAGAAGAGCCAGATCTTAGTGTGTGCAATATTTAGCAGCTCATGTAATTAATATTTAACTGCTTTCCAAAGCTATAGATTGTAAATGTAAATCTCTGTGAAGTTTCCAGTCACATTGCATTATTTGTCAATTGCTAAAGGCTTAGAAAGTTTTTACTCTGCATTTACTGTAAATGAGGATGAGTTTGTAGAGCATTGTACAGTAGAGACAACTCTGCAATAGGACTATAAAATGTGTGCATATAAGATATACATCTTCAACTGTTTTACAAATGCAACTCATTTAAAGGGTCACAAAACACTATTAACACATTGTTTGAGATGTTGAAAGTCTTATATGTGTCCCACTCTGCTAAAAATACTATTAGGACACACATATTTCACAAAAAAAGTGAAAAAGGTTGTTTTTGTGTTTTTTCAAGCAAATTCCTTCTTCCGCTTTGAAAAGAAACTTGGAAGCTACATCACAGCGATTAGATACTTGTGTAAATTCCAGCATAGAGACCGGATGTCTGTACTGTCAGGTGAAATGTGACGTCTTTGAGTTTTCAGCATTAAGTCATGAGAAAGTCTTGGTTCGAACCAATCAGCACACTCTATTTTGTATGTGGTGCAACTTCATTAATATGCATGATAGCTTTGAAGACTCCTTTTACCTGTTACAATGTTCAGACGGCAAGGGGCGCCACGTTGTGTTGCCAACTGTAATTACAACAAGTAGTAGAAAAGAAACTGTTTGGAGACATGGCTTGTCAGTTTTGTGTTTATAAATGTGCCGCAACAAAAGTTTTGTTTTCATTTCCCCGTGATGAGAGCGCAGTGTGTGTACCCACATGTGTGGATTACAGTGGTCTGCTAACATGTGACAAAAAATATGTTTGCAAGGAATTTTTTTTTACCGAGAGCTTTTCACGTCTAGAAATGGTGAAATCCGGATTTGCAGCTCATCTTCTTTTAAAAAAGGTAATTGTGTGATCAGTGTTCTTTGTTTGTTTATTCAGATGTCAAAGTTAGTTCGTATCGTCAGCAGTACTCTTTCAGTTTTTAAAGACATACTTTAGTCAAAATGATTTAGTTACTAAGTTTACAGTACGCTAAAATCACTACAACACTGCTCTCTGGATGTAAAAATGTAAACACCTTAATCAAACTTACCGTCGTGTAGGATTTTCGCCGCATTTTGTGACAGGATAGCCTATACACACACGGCTGTCGGACACTATTCTCTTCACCTATCGAGTGCATCTAAGTTACCCAAGTGTATTTAAAAATGCAGAGGGTTTTTCTCATACAGCATGTGGTATCAAAAATTGCACTAAAACTACACTCTTCCAGCAGTTCCTCGCGTTCAGTATCTCTTTGTCACGAGGGGCATGCATGAAATGTTTCTGAATGAAAGTGAAATTGCCAAACTGCAGTTACAGTCGACAAATTAAAATTAAAACAACCGAAATTGCATGAAACTTCAGATGAAATGTCTATAGTGTGGTGACGCTATGACATTAATTGAATTATGTGCTATAACATGTAAACGGGATCATGAAAGGAACATTCAACTCATGTAAACAACTTAGTCATATTATTGTCTTATTTAGATTATGGCAAATAATTTAATTACTGATGTCCATGTAAACGTAGTCACTGTCAATCTTCCTGCATCTGTGTTTGTGTTGCCACTGTAAAAATTTGCGCGTTTAAATTAGGCAGACTGGGTGGTATGAGTACTGTATTCCAGAAACTGCTGATCTACTTGGATTTTTGCACCCAATCATCTGAAGAATGGTGAAAAGAAAAGAGAAAATATCTAGTAAGAGTGAAGCTTCATTTACTGTACCAGCAGCAGCTAAGCGACAAGTGACCATTCATTTTAATGGAGAGTGATCAATTCTGGTCATCTCTGGCTACCCGAGCAACAGAGAGAGGATGTGGGAATGTTGAGCAACGCAACAATTTCGAGGATCCTTCAGCTTCATGCAAATCAAGAGCATCAGTAGAGCTCATGTGATCCTCACAGCTCCTCCGCCAGCCTGTTGTGTTCTCTGTGTTGTGCTGTAGGGTGTTTGCAACAGACAATGGCAGAGCACATGTTTTTTTCTTGTTCATCTTTGTAATTAAGTGTTTTATGTTCTGAATAATTTCCCTCCACAATGTCTATTTTCAGCAGCAAGAAAACTCATTCGCTGTCATTGAATTTCATACATAAATGATACCTCAAGGTGGGAATGCCCACTAGTGACTTTAATTGCCATCCAGAGTGAATGGTAGCTGCAAAATTGCTAGTACTGTGAATGAGGCTTAAGCATTGTTACACTAGGCTAC